TTTTTTTTTTTTTTTTTTTTTTTTGGTACCGGGGATTGAACTCGGGTCCTTGCACTTGCAAGGCAGGCCACTGCACCACTGAGCTAAATCCCTGGCCCTCCATTATCATTATCAAGGTTTTTATCATCATTCTTCTCCAGCCAATTACATTTTCATATCCTCAAATAGAATGAACCAAGAAATTTATAGGTTGTATTTCAAAATGAACTGAGTCATTAAACCATACCTTAGATGAAAATAATCTATATACACTAATCTCAATGACTTAGAAAATGATAAATGTTGGACATCTAAGCCTCCAGATAAAGATACTGAGTACCTACCATCTCCAAAAAGATGTGCCACAAGTCTGGTGAGTGTTTGCTTAAGGTCAAATTCTATGAGCTTCATGGCCTCCATGCTGTGAGTCTCTTGTTTATGTGCAGAGCGAGAACCGTGTTCAAAGACCTGCAAGCTTTCTCCATCTTTTATGCCAGCAAATAACTGTAAATCAAGAGAAAAAAATACACAAAATAATCCTCAAAACAGTCTATATGAAAAAACAGAAATTCTGGTAAAAGCAAATTCTACTCTGAAATTTGTGGGAATAAGAATTATGTCTTACAGTCGACAAACATACTGAAATCAACACTGACAATGCCAACAAAGCAAAGCTCTCTGCTACCACATGGAGCATCTCTAGGGTATTAAGGCACTGTTCTGATCTTTGCTGATCTCAGTTTCTCATTTGCATGAACTCATAGTCATTTCCCAACATGAGAAACTATCCTGAATTCTAGTGGAAACCACAGCAAATCAAGCTTTCAGACCTAAAATGATATCTATCCTTCTCACAGTGTCCCCACAGTGTAACCTGAGACTAGCTAGGGAAGTGCTGTCTAGGAAGTGAACCCTATGAAGACCATGAAGACAGGAAGCATGCTGGAAATTGATAGCCCACTACTTCCAAAGCTCAGGATGGGTCTGACACATATTTGTGGCATTTACTACCCATAAAGTGTTAGGCAAGTGCCTGGGGTAGCTAAGCCCCAGGCAATGATGTGCAAGATGGAATGATACTATACATTTTTAGATAAATTAACATATGGAAAATATAAAGCACTTGGCACAGCAAAGTGGTAAAGAAATTTTGCTTATTATTATCATCATCATTATGAACCAGAGCTGTTATCAGTCATAAAGTGTCTTACCAATAAAGCCTCTTTTGGGGCAACACAGGAGATCTTCAGCTCTGAGGCTCTGAAAAGAACTCCAAGGAGAACAGAGAAAATGAATCTATCATTCTTCCTATCTGAAGTTCCATTAAATAAAAAACAACGAACCAACTACCATTTCTAGTCATGTTAGGATACACAAACCTCCTGATACATAGTACTAAAAACTTTCTCAAATTGTTAAAAGCCTTGAAGAAGTAACAAAATAGAAAGGAATTACTCAACAAAACTCTACAAGGGAGAATGAAGCCAGCAAGATGCCCGGCACAAAGCCAAGAGAGTATCAGCCTCGCAACACAGCAGCAGAAAACTGAACACTGGTTGTGACAACTTACGACAGCAACAAGTGTCAGGCAAACAGTCCTGAAGGATTCCATGACACACGGGTGAGCACGAACATAAGCCCACCCTACGTAGATCTGCAATCACGAAGGCAATTCAGAGACCCTTGGCTCTGAAAATGAACACAGGCAATCCCAGACAGCTGCTCTAAATGCCCAGCAAAACCAAACAAGTCTCTTCAGAAAAAGATCCTACTGTCCTTAAATATAATTTAAGACTGTACATAAAAAGCAGGCAGCCAGCAGCATCCCAGCAAGAGAACTTTAACTTCCATTCTAGCTCTTACTTTGGGGTAGAGGGACAAGCTGAAAAAATATGAAGGAAAAAGGCAAGAGGTAAATGAGTGAGATGCTAAGACTGATCTAAAATCACCACCAAAAGAGCAAAACCTTTTACTCTTTACCCTAAGTGTAAAAATTGGAAAAATGTGTCCTATTAGACTAGTGAAGGGACTAAAGAAAAGGACTGTAAGACGATGCCTGTTCAAAGTGACAACCTTCACAGGCATGACTGCAATCAAGAGATGAGACACAGAATAATGAAGGAAAACCTTTGCAGCTATGTGGGATGGAGTAAAAGTACTCAGGATGGGACAAGATAAAACACACCTAAAAAAGCATTAGCAGACTTGTAAAAATACCACCAACACACTCATACACAAACTGCATGAGATCTGTGCTTTGCTACACTAACAAAAGAGGGCATCAGAAAAGTAGGGCATCAACTTCAACTAATAATCAACAACAACAAAAACAACAGAAGAAAATGCAATACAAGTATACAGGGTTATACTAACTCAGAAAGTCAATTCAAAATGGTTCAACTGATGAAAATCCACCCTCCCATAAAAAAGCAAAAGAAATTTTTAAAATAATATTTAAAAATTAAGGGAAATATGTTCAACTAGGCATGTGAGGATATAAACAACTTCTTGAGTTAGAAACTGAAAAATTTAGACCATACATAAAAAATAAAATGAGAAATGACTAAACGCAGGAAAAAGTAGAAGACATAAAACCTCAAAATTGAAGTTTAAATTACAAAGTATGCAAGAGATCAAGGAAAATTTAATAAGGGGTATGAAAGAAAAGCAAAAAGCAGGACAATGAAACAGAAGAACAAAGAGTGGGGGCGGGGGGAAGAGAAGGGGGAGGAGAGGAAGGAGGGGAGGAGCTAAAGCAGCAGAAAAGGAAGACAAGCAAAGAAGGAGTAACATTTTCATAATCGCATAATCAAAAAAGAAAAAACAAAATAATGGACTTAAATTAATGGTCACCAAATAAAATGGTACCTGAGAAAAAGAATCTCAAAGGGCCAAAAACAAGATATATTCTAATAAAATTACTACTTCAAAAATGACCAAAAAAATTTCTCAGGACCTCTAGGCAAAAAGATCAAACAACTTAGAAAGGCGAAGCAAGCAGATTGACATAAGATTCTTCAAAAGCAACTTACAAAACAAAGACAACAATGGAGCAAACTTTAAAACAACTCAATCTAGAAGTGTGGATCAAGAATTTCTACCCACCAGTGCTATCCTTTAAGTACTCAGCCTATAGAAAAGCCTTAAAAGCACATGAACACAGAGAATGTCACATTAATGAGCTCTTTCTGCAAAATTTACAAAAGTAAGATCTTTATCCAAGCAACAGGTTACTGGGAAATTTTCAGTTAAAAAATGTCAATGAAGAGCACAGTAGATTTGGCTAAAAAAAAGCTGGTGGTTAAGTTGGAAGACTAGAAAACAACTGTTACATGTCTTGACAAAAGAGATATTACATAACTAAAAATCACAAAGTAAAATAAGCTCACTATTATATAGAAAATAGATAAAGAATATTTTTAAGACAAACTCTAGATAGTTAAAAAATTATGTAAAAGTCAGTGGGATGAGGCTACTTAAAAGGCATAAATATATAAGCAGTCATTAAAACCACAACTATTAAAACCATAACTAACCTTTCTAAATAGCAATAAAAATATAATATGAGTAAAACAATCCTCATCCTATAAAAAATGGAAGTTTTATAACATATAACCACAAAATATTATGACAAAGTTGAGATAAAATGTGTTAATCAAGTCAATAAACATGGTCTTAATTCACTTAAAAGAAAAAAATATATACATTAAACTGACCACAAAGCATGACCTAACTGTACACTGTGTTTAAGCTAAAATAGTGTTAAACAAAAGCAATGTTAAAAAAAAAGAAACTGACAGAGTAGAAAAAGCAAATAAAAGAGCATAGAAGTTTTGAAATCAAATTAGAATTTTTTAAAAAGCACTAAACACTTTTTCATCTGAAAAATAAAAAAATATTTCAAGCAGCATATACCACAAAGAGATAACATTCCTAGCACGTAAGGAACTTTTATAAGTTGACAGAGTCAAAAACTCAACAAAAAACAAGAAAAATGTACGAACACATAATACACACACACACACACACACACACACACACACCCCAAGATATGAAAATGACTCAAATATACAAAAAGATATTTAGATTTAGAAAAATGCAAATTAAAACAACACAGATATATTCTTTCTAATCTATTACATTAGTACATATTAAAAACCTAGACAACATATTCTTTTTTATTGAGTTTATTGGTACAATCTAGGCTTACATTCATTACTGGGATCCTGTACCTTCACATGACAGGTCTTGGTTCTCATATTTTTCCCCTTGTCCCTGCCCTCCCTTCACCCCTCTTGCCCTCCCCATTTACAAACCCCTTATTTCCATTTTTTCAGTTTCTCATATTTTTTTCTTTTCCCTATTCCCTTTCCCCTATCCTTCCCACTTTCCCTACACCTTTAGCCCTTTTCTTCCTATTTCACACTATTAATTATACCAGTAGGATCTTGTGTACAATTATAGTTTTTCACACCAGAGAAACTATTCGGTATTTACTCATGTGTGACTTATTTATTTCACTTAATAGTATATCTTCAATATGTATCCAACACATTCTTTTGGTGAAACTGGAGAATGTACTTTTTTATACTGCTGGTAGAAACCCAAAATTATAGAGCTCTTTTGGAGGTAAATTTGGCAATATTCAACAAAACTATATTTGGGTTTATATCCTGACTTAGTCTTTCCATTCCCAGCTATTTATCCTAAAGGTATACCTCTGACAATAATATGAAATTGTTGTATTATTTTTAACAGCAACATATTAGAAATAAAGAAATGTCTTACTTTGTAGAAATGCAGAATAAACAATGGTTCATCTATTTACAGAGCATTACACAGATAAAGAAAAAAGATCCGGGGACTTAGCTCAGCAGTTCAGTGGCCTGCCTTGCAAGCACAAGGACCCGAGTTCAATCCCCAGTACCAAAAATAAACAAAAAAACAAAAAAGAAAAAAGAAGATTTCTTTGAAATAAAATGGAATGATTTCCAAGATATATTGTTAAGGGAAAAAAGCAATGTGCAAAAGAGCATGTGTTACATGCTACTTTTCACAAAAGAAGAAAGCATAATAAAATAAATATTAATCTTCTCATTTGTGCAAAATAAAATCAAACTGTAGGATAAATCAGAAATTAATTAGCTATGAAGAGGTTGGTAGAAACCAGATGAAAAAAATGGGTGAAAGATCAGAAAGTATAAAGAAAGGCAAAGGAGTAACAATTCTTTAGATATATCTTTGTGTATAGTTCTGACTTTTGGAATCATTTTATTCACTCAAAACATTAAAAATAAGCCACGCATCAGGGCTCATGGCCGTAATCCTAGCACATTGGGAGTCTGAGACAGAAGGACTAAAAGCTCAATTCTCACCCGGGCAGTTTAGTGAGACCTTGTCTCAAAATTTTAAAAATTAAAAGGACTGAGATGTAGCTCAATGCAAAGGTCCTAGAGTACCACAATCTAGAGTACCACAGAATGAATAAACAAATGAACGAATAC